ATGCGCGCGTGTGGCAGGTTGGTTTTGTGATGGCCAGGTGTGGTGGTATGCGTGGTCAGGTGTTGGTTTTGTGTGCCAGGAGTGTCTGTTGTACGTCGTGGTCAGTGTGTGGGTTTTGTAGGGCATCTGGTGAGCTTCGTGGCCCAGGTAAGCGTTGTACGTGGAGCTGACGTGCCTATCGCTGTGGCTGCAGTGTGACCGTGTTGTGCCAGTGCAGCGTGGTTGGTGACATTGTGCGACTGGTTTCGTCCATGTCCACTTTGGGGTCTTCGTTCCTGAGGCACCTTGGGGGCACACCCGTCCACTCCCTGAGACGAACCTGTCCCTGAAGGCCCAGCCTCCCTGCCTCCCAGCTCTGCCCACACCGGCCATCCACTTTGCATTGGCCCCTGCCGGGGCCCCACAGTGGTTGGGGTGGGTGGGACAGAGCAGGCCACTCAGGGTTCGGGGCTTGGGGGCGTGCTGCCGCAATCCCAGCTCAGCCTATAAACTGTAGCCTTTGACCCCGCAGATTCCCAGCAAGGGTGCCTCCATCTCAGTGTCCCCTGCAACACCCCGGCCGCGGCCTCCGGAGCCCAGCCCCTCTAAGCTGAGCCCTGGCACCAGCTAGGGGAGATGGGGGGCGGTTGTGTGTTGGGGGGGTAATACGGGGGTGGGGGGGCCAGCTCTCGGTGCCACAAACCTGCACTCCCACCAGGGTCTACACATGCTGGGCAACCCTCAACACGGGCTGGTGGTCCCAATGGCCCGGAGCCCTCAGTTTCGCCCAAGAAACTGTACACCCATGAGCAGCAGCCCCTGCCTATGTGTTAACTTCCCATTTCATTCTCCCAGCCACCTGTAAGATGGGGACGTTAATTAAATTAATCCATTTTCAGACGGGGAAACCAAGGCACAGAAAGACCAGATGGCTCAGCCGAGCCCACACCGGTAGTTAGCGAGGGGACTCGGAGGGGATGCGAACTGGGATTTTGTTGGGCGGCCCGAACCGCCCCGTTCCCACGCACAACAAGCCACACGGTCCACCGCGACCTACACTCAGCGGTGCCAGCCTGGATGGCCAGCCTCAGTCAAGACTCCCTGGGTGCTGGTGCACACAGCTGTTCACCCGGCGCAGCGGTCACTCCGTCGGCCTCAAACACACTCACAGACGAAGCCGTGCGGCGGGGTGGCAGGGACCTCCACCGGTCACGCCAAAGACTCACGCAGGGAAAAACAGGGGAAGGGGCCACTTCTCCAGGTTTTTTCCCTTCATTACCACTTTTTCTTATTGTGATCAACCCTATTCATAGACAGTTTTTTTTTTTTGAGACAGAGTCCTTCACTACCTGTTGCCCGCGGGCCTAGATGTGAGCGCCAGGCGTGGCGCCTCCAGCCTCGGCTGCAACACAACTCTCCAGACTGCCTGGGCCTTAAGCCTGATCCTCCTGCAGGCCTCCCGGAGTAGCTGGGACTCACAGGCATCGCAGCCACAGGATGCCCCGCTCATTTTTTCTAATATGGTGGCTCAGGCCTGTCATCCTAGCACTCTGGGAGGCCGAGGCGGGAGGATCGCTCGAGGTCAGGAGTTCGAAACCAGCCTCAGCAAGAGCGAGACCCCGTCTCTACTAAAAAATAGAAAGAAATGAATTGGCCGACTAAAGCATATATAGAAAAAAATTATCCAGGCATGGCGGCACGTGCCTGTAGTCCCGGCTACTCGGGAGGCTGAGGCAGGAGGATCGCTTGAGCCCAGGAGTCTGAGGTTGCTGTGAGCGAGGCTGACGCCACTGGGCACTCACTCTAGCCTGGGCAACACAGTGAGAGTCTGTTTCAAAAAAAAAAAAAGCTTATACTCTGTCTCCAAAAAAAAAAAAGAAAAAAAGATGCGATGGAAGAAGTCTTTGGAAAAATAAATTAAAATTAGAAAGAAAATATAAAATTATTTTTATAAATTAAAAAAAAAAAGAAAAAGAAAAAAAAACAGCAGCTCGAAGGTGAGCCCTGGAGAGCAGGCAGGCCGGGGTTAGAGTCCCAGTCCGCCCTTCCCTCTTGCGTGACCTTGGGAAGCGACTTTACCTCCTTGGGGCTCAGTTTCCCCACCTGTGAAATGGGGACACTTGGCGCGCTGGGGACACCTGGCGCCGTCCCGGGGCGAGGAGGACGGGGGAGGGGAGGCGGGCAGGTCAGGCACAGTCTTCCCCCGGGCGGGGCGAGTGTCGGAGAAGCGGGGGAGGATTCGGGGCTGGGGGAGCCCCTTCCTCGCGCAGCCCGAGGCCGCTGGCTGGCGGGGGCGCATGCGCACAGCGGCCCCGCGGCCCCTTTATAAGCGCCGAGGCGGCGCTGGCGCGAGCGGAGCGCAGGGGCTGGACCCGGCGCGGAGCGAGCGGAGCCCGGGCGTCCTTTGTGCCGGGCGGTTGCCCCGGGATGCGTCCGAACTAGCAGCCAGGTGGGGGGGTCCGCCGTGGGGAGGGGACCGCGTCGGGGGAGAAAACCTCGGGATTGGGGACACGGCCTGGGATTGGGGGCAGGGGCCTGGGATCAGGGAGAAGCCCCCAGAAAGAGGAGGGGGCTGATGGGGGAGGGGAGCCCCAGGCTGGGGAGGGGACACCAAGTTGGGGGGGGCTTGGGGATGTCAGGGGGACACGCATTTGGGGGGCAAGGTTGTCCAAGCGATGCGGAGACAACCCCAAGCGGGGCGGGGGGGGGGTGGAGGCTGGGCTGGAGGTTGGTCTCGGGATTGGGGAGGGGGCGATGGGAACCTGGGCTAGGGGAGGAGCACCCCGAGTTTGGAGAGAAGAGGAGGACACCCAGATGCTGGGCGTGGGATCCCAGAGCAGGGCGCACGCCCGCGTCTCAGCTGAGACACCCCAGGATTTTAAGTGGGGATTCCCAATTTGCAGGTGAATGGAGGAATCCCGGCTGGACCGCAGTGGGGAGGGGGCCCCCCCAGATCAGCCCGAGCCCAGTGGAGGGGGGTCTGTGCTAAAAGTGAATGGCCATGTGGAGACGGCACCCTGCTGTCTCCCTGTCCTTTGGGGCCATGTCCTGTCACCACATCCCGACTCAGGGGGGAGGCTCCGGGGGCCCCCATCCCAAGGTGGTCCCCGTCTGCTCCCTCCGACCTGGAGTTGAGGTGCTGCCCCTTTTCCCAGGGAGCACACTGGCGGCTGTCCCAGGTGAACACTGGGTGGGGGCCCCCTGGGACCCCCAGTTATGGATCCCAGGACCCATGAGGGACACCAGCCCAGAGAGGCGGGCTGCCCCCTCCCCGCACCTCCACATCTGCCCACACCCTCAGAGCATGGCACAGACCCTCCCCTCACCCCTTCAGCTCCCTCTGTCCCTGGGGGCGCATGAGGAAGCCCTGGCTTGGTTTGGGGACACAGACGTAGGGGGCTGGAACCCCAGGCCCAGCCTGGGCAGGAGCGCGCAGGGCTTTGTTCCTCTCCAGCAGCCTGGGTGGGAAACAGCCAGGACCGCCGAGGAGGAGAGGGTTGGAGGGTTGGCGCTGGGCCCCAGCGGGGGGCGGGGGGCAGAGCAGGGAGGGAGGGGCGGGCGCACCCTGGGACCCCAGAAACCAGCAGCCTCAATGGCTAGTGGACATTCCCAAATGGAATTTCCCCCTCAACGAGGCAGGCGGCTTTGTGTGTGTGTGTGTCTGCCCCGGGCAGGCAGGCAGGGGAGGGGAGTGTGCCCAGGGGTGCCCAGGGTCCCCCGTGAGTCTGATGCCACTGCGGTCGGTCGTGCCTTTGTCAGAAAACTTGTGCGGGGGGCCACATCGCCGTGTGGCAGAACGACGAGTGCCGGTCGGTCGGTCACTGGGCCCACATGCATCCATCCCGGTTTGTGCCGGGGCTGGCACCGCTGTGTTAAGTGTGAATCCGAGTGAGGAGCGGTGTCTGTCGGCAATCGGTTCTGGGGGGGGGGTGTTTCACGTGGGGTCGCCCAGAGACTGTGGGTGTGTGTCTTTGTGCGGGAGCCGCGCTGCCTGCCTGGCGAGTGCTCACACTGACTCCCTTTGTTAATGTCGCCGTGGATCTGTGTGAGTGTGAGTCTCCCCCGGGCTCCGTGTCTGGGGTGTGTGCCTGCGTGTGTGCGTGTGTGTGTGTGTCCTCCGTGTGTGCATGTGTGGGGCCAGGGTCCTTTCCCTGTGATCGGCACTGTGGTCCCTGGGCTTGGGGGTGTAGGACGCGGTCTGTGCGTGCAGAGTCAGGGAGCTTTATGGGGACAGGTTGGGCAGGGGTCGAAGTCCCCCAGGGGGCAGCCTGGGGTGATGCTTTGCCAAGCCGGTGACTTCATGACTTCCTTTCTGCCCCCAGGAGTTCCACGTTCACACCCGTGCACACTGGCACACGGCCGAAGGCCAGAGACACACACGTGGGGCGCACGGCCCCTGCCGAGGGGACACTCAGACCCACACATCCGGGAATCACGCCGGGTGCCCCCTGCACTCCACCCAGTGCTTGGGCTCTGTCAGCCCACACACGCCACGAGGCACAACTGCATGCATGCCCGTGCCTGGACACGGCACCGGAGACACACGCGCCCGGTCACAAACACACAGAAACCGTCTGCTGGCAACTCACCCGCACTCAGCGCCCACCCAGACAAGAGGTGGGAGTGAAGGAGGAGAGACACACACACACACACACACTCTCTCACATCAATCTGGGCCGCCCCTCCCCCAGCAACCCAAAAGGCCCCTGTTTGCATATGCATGAGGCTCCTGCATTATTCATGAGGGGACGGGCCCTAGACAGCTGTGTAAATGCTCACCTCTGGCAGCCCTGGGGAGGAGGTATTTTAAGAGACGGGTGTGGGCGTGTGAGGGTGCAAGTGGAAGGCCGTGGGAGGGTGTGTGCGGGGCGGGGAGGGGTTGCACCTGAAACCGTGTCTGTCACCATGTTGGACCACCTCACTCCGCCGGTATATTTTTAGTTGCCTACGCGAGGCTTTGTGCATAAAGAGCTGTTTTTAAATTTAACATTTCCAGGACTTTACAAGTCTTAGGTCATTTCATCCTCACAGCAGCCCTATAAGGTACTTGCAGGATCACCTCCATTTTACAGGTGGGGAAACTGAGGCACGGGCCTATTAAAGCAGCTCATCCAGGAGTAGAGGCAGGGCTGTCTGGATGTAGTCTGAGCTCTTAACCATATGGGATATGTGTGTGTGTGTAAGAATTCTCTGGCCTCGTCCCATCCTAAGCCCCTGCCGTGAGCAGGGGCAACCCAGAGTCCTGTGCCGGCCTGGAGCAGCCATCAGGAGGTCCCACACTAGTGCAGGGTTCCCAGGGGAAGAATTGAGGACAGCCCGGGATATAGGCAGACGCTGCTGAGGTTTACAGGTTGGTAGGTTGGGGACACCGGCCCAAGGCCTGGCCTGGACCTCAGCCCTGCTGTGCAGCCTAAGGCAAACCACCAGCCCTCTCTGGGCCCCGCCCCGAGGCACTGTGTCAGCAGGCAGGAGGCAGGGACAGACCCAGTGGGCTGTGCGGTGGCCCGCGTTGAAACCTCACAGTTCAGCACCACGGACAGGTCTCTGGCCGGCCTCCCAGCTGGGGACTCAGAGAGCTGGGAAGGACAGCTGTCCCCACAGCTTCCCATTCCAGACACTCTCCAAACCCCACTCCTCCGGGCTGTTTCCTTATGGGAGCAGGGTGCAAGGGCGGGATTTGCAGATGATGTTCTCATTTCCCATCTGTGCCCACCACCTGACCTCCGGTAAGAAGAACCACCCAGAAGGGTGGGAGGCTTTGGGGAGGGGCCCCCTCCCCAGGATTTCTGGTCTCTGGAAGAATGTGAAGTCCGGAAAGGCAATGCTGTATCTCGGCGCCTGGGAAACGGGCTTTGCTCACAGGAAGCTCTCCGTAACTGCCCACTCTATGCCCAGGGGTCACGGCCCCGATGGAGAACTGGACCTGCAGTTGAAATTTCTCCAGGGGCCTAGGAAAAATCTTCTTCAGGCCGTGTGAAGTCGGAAGGGAGGGTTGGGGGGGGCCAGGGCGAGGCCCCTTCCTCCAGCTGGGAGTTGGCAGCTCCTCAAAAATCCCAGAAACCAAGAATAGAATCTTGGTGACAACCAAATCCTGGAATTGAGGCTGAGAATCGTGTCAGTCAGCAAACCCAGACTACAGGCTGGCTCAGAGGCCAGCCTGCCGCCTGGACGGGGGACCCTGGGACGGAGACCACTGGCCACTGCCCTACAGGAGGCCCCGGTCTGATGGCGGGGAGGCTGACTTGGAAAAAAAATGGGATCTCAGTCTTGGCTGTGTCAAGGTCAACAGTAATAATAGCAACCGATAAAATGTGCTCCTCCATGCCAGGCAGTTAGTTCTAAGCATTTTATATGTATTGACTCATCCATTCCGCCCGGCTACCTGCTGTTATCCCCGTGTGACCCAGGAAGAAAGTGGGGCACAGAGAAGTTAAGCTGCTTGCCCAGGGTCACACAGCAAGGAACAGGTGGCCAGCCGACCCGGCTCGGATTCACTCCAGCACCCAGGCTTTGCTGCTTAGATCCTGAAGTCCAGTGGCCCTGGATTCAAATCCTTGCGCACTTGCTCCGTGACCTTGAACGATACACTAGCCTCTCTGATCCCTGGTTTCCTGACCTTTGTGTGTGTGGGGGGTGGTTCGACTACCCGAGAGGGCTCTGCCTCAGCTCACCCCTCCCTCCCTCCCTCTCCGTTTTGTTCCAGGTCCAGGATGGGGACCGTGTTTGTCTGGGCCTTGGGCCTTTTGATGCTTCAGAGACTGTTCTTTGCGGCCGGGGAACAGGGTGAGTTAGCTTGCGGGGAGGGGACGGATCGGGGCCTGGGAGGTGGCCACGCGGTGGGGCAGCTTTTTAACTCCAGAGGCTTCTCCTGCCGGTCCCCCGGCTTGGTTTAGAGAGCAAAATGAGAACGGATGAAAAAGGCCTTTGAACAGTCAGAGGAGAACGAGATACCTGAGAGGTTATTTTTAGTCGCTGTCGGCAGAAGCTGGAGGTTCCCGCCTCTCACCGTTTGCTGAGATGAGCTGAAGAGAGAGAAAGAGAGAGGGAGAGAGAGAGAAAAGTGGGGGGGGGAGAAGGAGAGAGAGAGAAGTGACACAGCAACAGGCTTAGTCTAAAAGAGAAAAGAAACAAAGCAAAAAATAAGAGAGAGAGAAATGAGAAGAGTGTGAAGATTGATTAATGATGTCTGCCAAGGAAGGGGCAATGGGAATGAAGGTATGTGTGTCTCCCCTGGCATCTCTGCAATAGTGTCAAGAGCCCAGGCTTTAGAAATCCCTCACTGATTTGCTCAGTGGCCTTAGGCAAATACAATTCTCTCTCTGAGCCTCTGTTCCCTCAACTCCCCCCAAAAGAGAATGAGACATTGCTACTGTGCAGATGGTTACGAAAACTAAACAAGGTCAGGTGTGGTGGCTCATACCTGCAATCCTAGCATTCCAGGAGGCCGAGGTGGGAGGATCACTGGACACCAGGAGTTCCAGCCCAGCCGGGCAACATAGCAGAGACCCCCATCTCTACAAAATATTTACAAAAACGGCCAGGGGTAATCACACACGCCGGGCAACATAGCAGAGACCCCCGTCTCTACAAAACATTTACAAAAACAGCCAGGGGTAATCACACACGCCTGTAGACCCAGCTAGTTGGGAGGCTGAGGCAGGAGGATCGCCTGAGCCCAGGAGTTTGAGGCTGCAGTGAGCTATGGTCGTGCCACGGCACTCCAGCCTGGGCAACAGAGCAAGACCCTGTCTCTCTCTCTCTTTTATTTTGCTCAAAAAAAAAAAAAAGAGAGAGAGAGAGAAAGAAAAGGACAATCAAATGGGCTGATTTACAGGCTGTAAAATGCCTGTTATTGCTATAAAGAAGGTACTCCACACACACCATTTCCCTTCCATGGGACGCTTGTTGCTTGACTTTTGGAGAAACAGGCTCAGAGAAGGAAAGTGACTTTCCCGTAGTTGTACAGTGAGGGAAACAGCGGTCGCTCCTGCATCTGAGTCGCCCTCTCTCTGCCTTCCCCACCCCAGGCACACGGGACGCCTCGGAGGCTGCTGAGAAGGGGCTCCGCATGGAGAAGGTGGGGTCCGGGCCGGTGCGGGCCGCGCTGGCCGAGCTGGTGGCCCTGCCCTGCCTCTTCACCCTGCAGCCCCGGCCAGGCGCCGCCCGGGACGCCCCTCGGATCAAGTGGACCAAGGTGCGGGCCGCCTCGGGCCAGCGGCAGGACTTGCCCATCCTGGTGGCCAAGGACAATGTGGTGCGGGTGGCCAAGGGCTGGCAGGGACGAGTGTCACTGCCCGCCTACCCCCGGCGCCGAGCCAACGCCACGCTGCTGCTGGGGCCGCTGCGGGCCAGCGACTCCGGGCTCTACCGCTGCCAGGTGGTGAGGGGCATCGAGGACGAGCAGGATCTGGTGCCCCTGGAGGTGACGGGTCAGTTGGGACCAGGGAGGGGCTGAGGCCGGGAGGGGGAGGCCCTGAGCCTAGAGCCCACCCACTGAGTGTCACCTCAGAAACACCACTCTGCACCAGGGAACTCCTTCTGTTAATCCACCTGTACTCTTTTTCAAGTCGTTGACTATACTATTGATACTTCACTCCGTCTCCTATTTTCATATCCTATCATACTATATTTTTTTTTTTTTTTTGAGACAGAGTCTCACTCTGTGCCCAGGCTAGAAGTGCCATGGCGTCAGCCTAGCTCACAGCAAACTCCAACTCCTGGCGTCAGCGATCCTCCTGCCCAGCCTCCCGAGTAGCTGGGACTCACAGGCATCGCGCCACCACTGCCCGGCTAATTTTTTTTTTACATATAATAGTTGGCCAATTATTTCTTTCTATTTATAGTAGAACGGGGTCTTGCTCTTGCTCAGGCTGGTCTCGAACTCTGACTCGTGAGCCATCGCGCGCTCGGCCTCCGAAGTCTAGCCTATTTTTTAACGCTTCTCTTTTTTAACCAAGAGGGAGCACCCTCCAGCACAGTCTCCTGTGTGCCACAATATCTAGGCAGGATTTTGTAAGTTTTCTTTAAAAGTCAATTTTTACAGTTACCTAATTTTACACAACACAATGGATATTGGCTTTCTATTTAAAACAGGAATACTTAGCCGGGCTTGGTGGCTCATGCCTGAAGTCCTAGCGCTTTGGGAGGCTGAGGGGGAGGATCAACTTGCGGTCAGCAAATTCTGAGACGGCCTGAGCACACGCGAGCGACGACCGCATTTTCTCACCAACAAGAAGGAAAGAAAGAGAGAGAAACGAGAGGAAAAAGAAAGAAGCAGAAAGCAAAGGGAAAAAAGAAAGAAAGAAAATTAGCCGGCGTGGTGCACGATGCCTGTAGTCCCAGCTATTCAGGAGCCTGAGGCAGAAAGATCGCTTGAGCCCAGGAATTGAGGTTGCAGATCGAGCTACTGCAGATGCCACTGCCAATCTAGCCGGGGCAACAGAGTGAGACCCTGTCTCAAAAAAATAAAAATAGGAATACCCCAGTGGTAAGGGGAGGAATAGAAAAAAATAATAATAAAATAGGAACATTCCTTTCCCGTCTTTATTATATTCTTTTTCTAATTCCTGGTTAAGTTCACACAAATTTCCATTTAAAATAAATTTGTTTAAGCTTTTTATAAGTGAGCAATTTTTAAAAAGCAGCTTGCGATTCGATCAATATATAGGCAGTTAGACACCGGCGCCGCCAACAGCACACGCTGGCTCATGCCTGTATCCAGCATTGCCTCTTGGGAGGCTGAGGCATAAGCCCAGGAAGTTTGAGACCAGCTCCTGGCGCAATATAGAGGGGAAAAATTAGCAGGCATGGTCGGTGCATGCCTGTAGTCCCACTACCCTGCAGGAGGCTGAGGTGGGAGGAATCGCTCCCAGAGAGGTCCAAGGCTCTGCTGAACTCCAGCTGGCTGAACGAGTGCAGACTTCATCTCTCTCCCAGTCGTCGCTCCGCCTTCTCTTCTCTATCTATCTACTCTAAATACGGATATCCCCATATATAACATAGATGGTATAATCACCGGTACGATGCTTAGACTATATTACCCTATACGCCGGATGTGTGATATATAATACACACACATAACACTTCTTTCTAATACACTCTTTTATCCATTCTTGGTCATTAAATTACTTCCTGTTGAAAATACTCAGTCACACATCTTCCTGTTTTCCTAACTGAACAGGTGGACCACAGTAAAATAAAAAATTAATGATTCAAACCAGCCAGTCTAGACAGGGGTGGTGGCCCACACAACCGCGATGCTCAACTACACTTTTTTTTTTTTTTTGACGACCAGGTCTACCTTTGTTGCCAGGGCTAAGTGACGCTGCCTGCGCCGCTGTCAGGCCGCTACGCTCCAGCAACCTCCCTCTGGCGCTGCAAGTGCATTACTCTCTGCCTCAGCCTCCCACGTACAGCGGCCTCTCAGGCATGCACGCCCTGCCCGGCTCATTGTTCTTTCTATATACCCCGACTCGACCAGGCTTGGCCACACTAATTCTCTCTCATTATAGCCTAGAGACTGGGGGTTCTTGCTCTTGCTGCAGGCTGGTTTCGACGACCTCCTGACCTTCGAACCGCCCATGTGGCAGCTCGGCCGCTCGGCTCAGCAGTGCTACGGATTCACTCCACGGCGCGTCCGACGCACGAGTCGCCGGCCTCGACTACCCACGTTTTTCAAGTGTGTGACTCAAACGAAGGTGGATTTTGTGGTATGGCGACAACACACTCCGGTCGGACTCTGGACTCTACTTGCCGATCAATTTTATGCTTGAACCTTGGCCAAGTCCCTACACTCCCGCTGTCCTGGCCTTAATCCCGCTTCCCCAACAACTGTTGGAAACTGGGGAACAATGCGTGCTTGCCGCCATAGTTTTCATGCACGTCCACCATCTACTCCCCGTTCAAGGCCTCCATTCTTCCAACTGCATAAAATCAGAAGAAACCTGATAATCAGATGAACAGAAGTATTTTACCTGTTATTCCTTTCACTTAAGCCAATAATCTGAGCGCACTGCAGCTACCAAGTGGTACTGACAGGGCCCTTGCTATGCTCTGGCCAGGCTGCGTCTCAATTCTGGCCTCAAGCAACACTCTCTCACCTTGGCTCCACTTGGAGTTATAGCCCATAAGATGCTGCCACAGCTCCTCGGTCCTGATTAGACTGAGCAACAGTTAATTTCTTTTCTTCTCTCTTTTTTTTCTTTCTTTTTCTGCAGACAGATTCGCATTTGTGCAGCGCTGAGTGACGTGCGTCGCATCAGCTCCGCTCACAGCAACCACCACTCCATGGCTTCAAGCATCCTCCTGCTCAGCTCACAAGTACGCTGGGACTACAGGCATGGGCACCCATGCCCCGGCTCATTTTTATTTCTATGATACTAATCATACCATATATTCCCATTGCAATTAACTCCTTTCTAATATAGTAGCGACGGGGTCTCGCTCTTGCTCAGGCTGCTTTTTCGAACACTCGACCTAGCACCATCTGCCCGTCGTCTCCGCCAAGTGTAGGATTAACGGCGTGCCCGTGGCCGGCCCAACAATGCTTTATTTTTTAATGGTTCTTAGCATTTCTCTTTCATGCTAAATCCGAATTTGAGCCTCGCACCGTGAAGCCTGTTACTGGTGCCTTCCCCGCGCGTCTGGCTTTCCCACTGTCACTCCTCCAGGAGGCCTCCTAGCCCTTTGGTGGCGCACTGTTATCAAGTTTCCCTCATCTGTGAACGCGGACATGTGGCTCTCACCTCCCACCATACCTAGCCGACTGCTGTCCTGGTGCCGACGGTAATGGGCGTGCGTAACAGGCACTGTAAGGGCTATTATTAGGGGTCTATTATTAGGAGACTGGAGGGGGGGGTCATCCTGTAAGAGGGCCGCCGCGCGCGCTCGCTCGCCTCGTTCTCGCTGAGACACTCGCGCCCGGTCGCGCGGGCGCGCAGCTCGGCGCTCGTGTGAATGTCCTCTACACCAGCGCGCTTGGTGTTCCATCAACCACCGCTCGAAGGCAGCCCGGGACCAGCTATGCCCTGCTGGCGCCAGCTTCGCTGCGCACCAGGCAGGGGCCGGCAGGCTCAGCTCGCCCACCCATCGCGGCCCGAGCCGACTCGCACCCTGCAGCGCCTGCCTTCGGGACGCTTCCGCACAACTCGTGTGCGCTGGCTCTTCTGACCGCACCAGCTTCGGCGCTGAGGGGGATACACAGGTATGAGGATGAGGAGGAACGTTCCCTGGGGAACTCCAGGACAAGACACACCGTGTGAGCCGCCGACCTCGCCTTGTGTGGTCAGGTACCCTATCACCCAGTCCCGCCCTGGTTGCTATGGCGACCGCAGCAGCCTCCCAGGGGTTCGGAGCTATGGGAGGCGCAACCCACAGGAACTCTACGATGTGTACTGCTTTGCCCGCGAGCTGGGGGGTAAGTCTGAAGTTGGCAGGACCCTGACCTCCGCCCCTCTCCCTGAGCCCCTGTCACTCTCCGCAGCTCCCATCCCTCCCTAGGTCCTTATGCAACTCTGCTCAGTCTCCTCCTCTCTGAACCTGCAGCCAGCCTCCTCTGAGCTTTCCATCACTCCCGGAGCGCCTGTCCCCTGCCTGTCCCTGCCTGTCCCCTCCCAGCCACCCTCCCCCTCCCTGTCCCTCTTCTCCCTCTCTGATCCCCCCTGACCAAGCCCTTCCCTCTTTCTCTGAAGCCTGACTCATTTGTAAAAAGAGGCCAGAGCCTCGTCTTGTTCGCTCTGCGTGATGCCCGGCTGCTGCTGTCACCGCCTCCGTTGAACTGCCCCCCAAACCCGGCCGGGCTGGGACCATTTGGAGGGAGAGCCCCCTTTCCCGGGTTCCCAGGGAGGGTCCCCCAGGCCTCCCTAACCTCCGCCCCGCACCCTCCCGCAGGCGAGGTCTTCTACGTGGGCCCCGCCCGCCGCCTGACCCTGGCGGGCGCGCGCGCCCAGTGCCGCCGCCAGGGCGCCACCCTGGCCTCGGTGGGGCAGCTGCACCTGGCCTGGCACGAGGGCCTGGATCAGTGCGACCCGGGCTGGCTGGCCGACGGCAGCGTGCGCTACCCGATCCAGACGCCGCGCCGGCGCTGCGGGGGCCCGACGCCAGGGGTGCGCACCGTGTACCGCTTCGCCAACCGGACCGGCTTCCCCGCGCCCGCCGCGCGCTTCGACGCCTACTGCTTCCGAGGTGCGTGCGCGGCGCTCGGGGCGCGGGAGGCCATGGCCGGGAGTGCACGTGCGCCCGTGGCCACGCCCTCAGGCCGTTCGCTTTGGTGAAAGCCACGCCCCCAAGAAACGTGCGTTGTGATAGGCCACGCCCGTGAGGCCACGCCCCTGAGAAACATGTTTTGTGGTAGGCCACGCCCACGGAGACCACGCCCCCATAGGACAGGCTTTGTGGTAGGCCACACCCCCTAGAAACGTGCTTTCTGATAGGCCACGCCCCCCGCGAGACAGGCTTTGTGATAGGCCACACCCCCGTGGAGGCCACGCCCCAGGAGAAGTCTTTGTGATAGGCGACGCCCCCACGAAACGTGCTTTGTGATAGGCCACGCCCGTGAGGCCACGCCCCTGAGAAACATGTTTTGTGGTAGGCCACGCCCATGGAGACCACGCCCCCATAGGACAGGCTTTGTGGTAGGCCACACCCCCTAGAAACGTGCTTTGTGATAGGCCACGCCCGTAAGGCCACGCCCCCTAGAAACATGCTTTGTGATAGGCCACACTCCCATGGAGGCCACGCCCCACGAGAAGTCTTTGTGATAGGCGACGCCCCCACGAAACCTGCTTTGTGATAGGCCACGCCCCCCACCCGCGAGACACGCTTTGTGATAGGCCGCGCCTGTGAGGCCACGCCCCCGAGAAACATGCTTTGTGATAGGCCACGACCAGGAGAGGCGGGCTTTACCATAGGCCACGCCCTTGTTGAAGACCACACCCCCCTGTAGGGGTCTTTCCCTAGGAGCTGGTCCCAGGGGAGGGACAGGGCTCTGGCTGGAGGCCAAACTCTGGCGCGGGGAGTCATATTTACCGGGTGGGCTTTGTCTCCTGAGGTCCTGGGGCTTGCTAACCCTAAAAGACACGCCCCTGGGCGGGGCATATTCTACGTGGGCGGGGCATATTCTACCTAGAGCCACGCCCATGGGCGCACGCCCTGTAGAAGGGGGAATGCCTCCACGTGCCCTGGACAGGTGGCCACACCAGAAATGACACTGGCCATGGTGCTCGGGAGGCGGGGCACAGGTTTGGAAGCTGCAAACCTCAGCTCCAAGGAGCCAGGTCCTCTGTGTGAGCTGCCTGCTGCCCTGGGTGGAAACGAAAAAGGAAACGCCTCCTCCCGCAGCAGGGAGGATCCAGGCCCAGGTGTAGCAGGGCCGTCCCTCAGGCTAAGCTGAGCCAAACTGTCTCTATTTTTTTTTTTTTTGAGAGTCTTGCTCTGTTACTCAGACTAGAGTCCCTTGGCGTCAGCCTAACTCACAGCAACCTCCAACTCCTGGGCTCAAGCGATCCTCCTGCCTCAGCCTCCGGAGTAGCTGGGACTACAGGCATGCGCCACCGTGCCCGGCTAATTTTCTCTATATATTTTTAGTTGTCCAGCTGATTTCTTTCTATTTATAGTGGAGACGGGGTCTCGCTCTTGCTCAGGCTGGTCTCGAACTCCTGAGCTCAAACGATCCTCCTGCCTCGGCCTCCCAGAGTGCTGGGATGACAGGCGTGAGCCACCGCGCCCTGGCTGCCCCGAACTGTCTCTTGACTCCTCAGTGGGATCAGTTGACTCCAACCCTGGGAGTGGGCTCAGTCCAGCCCCGGCCGGAACAGTGGCCAGTGATAACTTTGCACCTCTTTTCTCAGGCTGGGGGAGTCTCGGAAACCACCGAGAGAGACAGAGACAGAGAGAGACACAGAGAGACAGAGAGAGAGACACACACACAGAGACAGAGAAAGAGAGACAGAGAGACACACACATACAGAGACAGAGAGAGAGACACACACACATAGACAGAGAGACAGAGAGACATACACACACAGAGACAGAGAGACACACACATACAGAGACAGAGAGAGACACACAGAGACAGAGAGAGAGACAGAGAGAGAGACAGAGACAGAGAGAGAGACAGAGACACAGAGAGAGAGACAGAGACAGAGACACAGAGACAGAGAGAGACAGAGAGAGAGAGACGGGGAGGGGGTGCATGGAAGCTCTGTGCTGCAGCATTCTGGAATGTGTGTAGATTTCAAGCAGAACTTCCTGGGCCTAACACAACCTCTTCTGCTCTGTCCCACAGCTCATCACCCCACCCCGCAACACGGAGACCCAGAGGCCCCGTCATCTGGGGACGAAGGGGAGATCCTGTCGGCAGAGGGGCCCCCCGTCCGAGAATCAGGGACGGACCTGGGGGGAGAAGAGGCGGTCACTCCCGACTTCCAGGAGCCTCTGGTGTCCAGCGGGGAAGCAGAGCCCCTGATCTTGGCAGAGAAGCAGGAGACTCAAGAGACCCCCCGCCCTCCCCCCGGGGACCCCACGCCGGCCTCGTGGCCCACCGAGGAAGCGTGGCTGAGCACAGTGGCCCCCAGCCCCAGCAGCACGGAGGCGGCCCCAGCCGGGCCCACGCCCGGGAGGAGGGGGCGCTTCAGAGGCCTGAACGGGCGCCACTTCCAGCAGCAGGAGCCGCCAGAGGGAGGGCTGCAAGGGGGGCTCCCGGCCAGCACCCAGCCCCCCACCCCAGAGGCCGCGGGGAATCTCGTGGAACCCCCCTCAGCCCCCGGAGCCACAGAGGCCTTGGGGAGCGGCCGGAACGGGAGCCGCTGGCCGGATCTGACCAATGAGGTGGACATGCCTGCAGCTGGTGAGTGGGACCCGTGGGGGCGGGTTCCTGCCCGAGGATCTGGAGCTGGGAGGGGGCGATATGGCCACGGTCGGGACAGGGGAGGAAGCTCTGAACGCCAGCTGGGTCCCTGGCCTTGGAAGCCAGGCCCAGAGCGGAGGAGGGGACGGTGAACAGAGAAGGGTGCCGAGAGACAGTCACAGTCATGGTGGTTGATGTCGTTGCAGGTGCCCCTGGTGGCGGGAGCTCCCCAGAGCCCTGGCTGTGGCCCCCGACTGTCATCCCTCCCAGCATCCCTGGCCCGGAGCTGCAGAAAGCCACGGGCCCCCTCGTGAGGCCGGCTAACCCAGGCCTGCCCTGGTCTCCCTCAGAGACCACCGTCCCCGCTCCCAGCCCCTCTGAGGGCCCCAGTCCTGCCCCTTGGGAAGTGTCCCCCAAAGGCACGTCCCCGGACCTCCCTATCATCGCGATGCTGCGAGCCCCCAAGGAGTGGCTCCTGCCACACCCTACCCCCGTCTCCGCCGAGGCCAGTGGGGTCGAGGGGCGCGGCGAGGCCGTGGCCACTGCCCTGCTGTCCCCGGCCCCCTCCTTGGGCTTGCTGGGACAGGGTGGAGAGGTCAGGAGCACGGCACTGGACAGCCACGGGGAAGGAAGTCCCACGGCCCCCTCGGGGGCAGTCTCGGATACAAGAGCTGGGGCCAGCTCCGATACCCCCAGGGAGGACTTTGGAGGAATCGGGGAGACCAGCCCTACTTGGCCCCCCAACGCCGAGCACCCCAGATCCAGCCCCTGGGCTTCCGTGGACAGGACCGGAGTGGCGGGTGTTGCCTCCACTGAGCCCGTGGGCGTCAGAGGCACCTTGGGGCCTGAGTCTGGGGCCTCCGACACAGCAGACAGCCCCGCTCCCAGCCCCCGGGCCACTGCTGACGGGGCGCAGAGCCCCCGGCCCTCAGCCCACAGCAAAGGACTGGATGCCAGCTCTCCACCTGCACCCTCGGGGGGTCTCGGGGTCCTCTCGGTGCCCGGAGTCACCTCGAGTTTGCAGCCTTGGGCTGCAACGGGCGAAGGAGCCACGCTGGGTCCCAGGGAGTCCACGGCCACAGCGGGCTCCAGCCAAGCTGGTGGAATTTGGGAGCCCGGGTCCCGGGTGTCTGAAGGAGACGAAAGGCCCACCTTGGCCCCTCAGGTGGCCGTGGAGACAGGCATGACGATGTCCCCCACGTCCCTGGACCAGGGGGACGGGTTTGGGCTCCTGGCCAGGTCCAGGCTGGCCTCCTCCAGCTCCCAGCCCCTCCTGGAGCTCCGGCCAGAGGCCCAGGGGACCCCGGGAGCTCCAGCCCTCCCGCAGCAGGGCAGCCCCCTGGGGACGCCGGGTCTTCCTCCTTGGACGCCAACCGCAGCCAGCGTGGACGAGGCTGCCTCAGTTTCCTCAGGGGAGCCCATAGCGCCTTGGGACTCCGCCGGCACCCTGCTGCCCGTCTCCCTGGGCGCAGAGGAGTTTGCGCTGGGGGTTCTGAGCGGCAGCCCCTTCTGGGAAGAGGCGGCGAGTGGAGAGGAGTTGGCACTGCCGGGGAGCCCTGCGGATGGGAGCGCCGGGAACCGTAAGTTCCACGGCCCCATCCAGCTCGCTGCTGCTGCTGTGGTCAGGGCCTGGGGTGGCCGGGAGCAGGGAGGGAGGGTTGGGGTCCCAGGGCTCTGGGAGGCAAGAGCTCCAGATGGAAGCCGGGCGCGGTGGCTCACGCCTGTCATCCCGGCTCTCTGGGACGCTGAGGCTGGCGGATCACTCGAGGTCAGGAGTTCAAGACCAGCCTGAGCAAGAGCGAGACCCCGTCTCTACTAAAAATAGAAAGAAATTAATTGGCCAACTAATATATATATGGAAAAAATGAGCCGGGCATGGTGGCGCATGCCTGTAGTCCCAGCTACTCGGGAGGCTGAGGCAGGAGGATCGCTTGAGCCCAGGAGTCTGAGGTTGCTGTGAGCGAGGCTGACGCCACGGCACTCGCTCTAGCCCGGGCAACAGAGCAAGATGCTGTCTCAAAGAAAAAAGAAAAAACAACATGCATGAAGTCCTGGGAGGTGGTGGGCTTGGCCAGGGAAGGGCTGTAGGAAGTCTGTCCGTGAAGGGTGAACTGGGGGTCAATGTCAAAAGGTCAATGTCAAAAGAAACAGAGAAGGGGCTGCAGAGTGCTGGGAGGGAAACCGCTGGGGGATGGGAGGACACGGGGCTGCAGGGGCACCTGGTGCCAGGGCTGGGTGTGTCCTGGCGTTGCCAGAGTCCTGGCTCCAGACTGAGCCGGTGGGGCGGCGGCGCTGGGGAGACCCGGGGGCCTCCCGGCCCGCCTGTCCGCCACCACCGCCTGCCACCGCCGCCTGCC